TTTAATGGTTGTGCACCTATAATATGCAGCTGAAAAGAGTAAAACATTCTAGAAAAGTAGATTTCTTATTTCTATTTTAGTAAGGCTGACTTAATTATTCTATTATTGTAATAAATATTGTGAATTCTGCTAATAGAAATAACTATAATTTTGAAATAGTGATTATATATTATAATAATTAATGAGGAATTAAAATAATTAGCCTTATGATAGTTAACTAATTAGGAGCCAATTAAGCATAGCTTTTCAAAATGTTTCACAAGAAAAATCCTATCTCTATAAAATAAATTCAAATTTTCCACTAAATATTTACATGCTTTTTGAATTATGTTAAGACTAAGAAATGTTTCATAATGGCTAAAATGCTTAGAATATTTATATATATTTTAAAATTGTTTTCACATACAATTCTGTTGTTACAGCATGAAAATGGTTGTGAAGCAGTATTTTAAAACTGCACAATGATAAGCTGTTCTTAGATTATACCTGATATTGTTGGGGCAAATAAAAAGCCAATTGCATGTAGTGTTGTTGCAGGTTTTGGCTTTAAGGCTATACATAATGGTGCTTCTATCTCTACATATTTTGGTGAGGTTCTGTTATTTAGTGGACATAGTTTAACAACATTTCTCCTCAGATAGGGACATCATGTTTTTCCTTGATTTAGACAGAAAGAAAAAGAGTTTCTTATAGGGAAGACTGTTTCACAGTACCTATAATAGCCCAACAGGTTTCTATTAAATTCACACACACACACACACACACACACACACACACACACACACACATAGACACTCACTTTGGAAGCAGCTGGAGTCCAGACTAAGCAGGAAATCCTTAAAGCCACAAGTACTTAATACCAACTAAATAGGGGTGAAAGTGATCCCCAGTCCAAAGCTTGAGCTATAAATAGAGACTACAGCAACTATTTTATTTATCATAATCTTAATATAAAACAAAGTGAAATCCAGGGCCTTAGTATGCAGCCATAGCTTAAGAACTATAGTCAGTAATACATTCACTATCTATCTGGAAATTCCAAAATCCAAGACATAATAAAAGTAAATCTTGCTATGGAAAAATATAAAATGTAGTGTAGGGTGATATTGACTGTGATATTCAAGTTTCAGAATACTTTGGGGATTTCCTTTTAGCCAAGAAAATGAGTATTTTAGAGGTTTTTCATGCTATATCATACAGGACATATGAGCATGATGTGGTTTATTAGACTGATCTACATTATCATTAGTGATTTCCTCAATAATCCTAGTGGCAGTGGGAAAAATATGAAACTTTAGAGGAAAAAAAAAGCAATAAAATTGATTGTGTATTCATAAAAATGTAACTTAATTTCCTTCAAATTGCAATACCCCTACTCTACTTCTGTATATATGCATAAAAGTAAGCAGACCTTTCCCTAGAGTGAATATGGTAAATATGAATTTACCATTTCATATTTGTGAATGAATTATCATGCCATCTTTGTGAATTTTCCTACATTTGATTATTAAAGAACAATTTCATTTAAGCGGGACAGTAAGGTAAAACAAGTATAACTACCAAATGAAAAGAAATTTCATTTCCATGTACAAAAGTATGATTGTATGTCTATTGTGTAATCCAATTCAAATTTACCGTACTTAGATTTGGATTATCATATTCATCTTCATATCACTAAATGATCCTGATCTCACTAAGCCTCTATTTTATCATCAAGAAATTGGGTAATATGTGAACTCAAGAGGAAATTTGGGCATTTTAATAATTAACGATAAAAATCCATTTACTGTAACAAAATAACTACCAAATTATATATTCAGCTACTTAAAGACAGCTTTCTGAAAGTCTGAATAAATGTATTAATCCCCATCAGATTCTCTTTCTTGTTTTTATTGTAGGAAAAGCATACAGGAAACTGCAATATCTAAAATAAATTCACAAGTTTATTTGTATTCAAAGAGCAAGTAATTTATTATCAAGATGGTAGAAAAAGATAAGGAAGAAATTCTCACTGTTCTGCCTCAAAAACAGTAATACTACATAGAGTACCAAAAAGAGAGAGCTGTGTTCAACAGAATTATCTCCCATGGACTAAAAACATATTTTGTCTCTGTAGAAGAATTAATTGTGGAAACTGGTAAATTATAGGGTGGCCCATTTTGTTGTTTAACATCTATAATTTTCTTTCTCAGATCTATGAAATCTAGTTCGTAGTTCAGCAACAAGCATTTGAGATCTGAGATTTATTTTTCTATTTTAGTAAGCATCTGTTTCCTAAATATTTCTTTTTGAAGCAGAAGAAAAAGGTAAAGTTCTATTAAAAATGCTATTAATTCTTGACATCAAAAACTGACAAAAAGCAAGTTAAATGCAAAAAAAAAAAAAAAAGAAAAAAGGAAACAGAGACCTATAGATCATAGGTGTAGTGAACTAGATGTGGGCTAAAGAAATAAAGACAATATAGAAAAATATTGTAAAATATAGAAAAATATAGAAAAAATATAGAAAAATATAGAAAAAACAGAAATATAGAAAATATAGAAAAAAAATAAACTAAACATTTCTAAAGAGAAGGGAGAATTTTGCCAAATTGAAAATAGTACAATTATAGCTTAAAGTTTTACTTAAAATAGACTGAATACATAAAAGTCCTCTTTCTCATGTAGTCATATTTAACCATGTATTTTCTCATCAATAATTTTCAGCTACTTCAAATGTTGGTAAGATACTCTGACTAAGAAATAAGACCAAAAGTCATTGTATTTAATAAAAAATCTGAAAGTTTAAACTGGAAAGAGTTCAAATTATCTTTGTGAGTTTTTCTATATTTGATTCTTAAATAATAATTTCATTTTAAATGGGACACTGGGGTAAAACAAGCACAGCTACCAAATGAAAAGAAATTTCATTCCCACGTGCAAACGTATGATTGTGTGTGTATTGTGTAATCCAAATCTGATTAGAATCAGATGATTCAACCAATTTAATCAATGTTAATAAGTTTCTGTGACTGCAATTAGATACTTTCCTGTGTCTTTGTCTGTTTATTCTACCTTTTCTCCTGTCATTCAGGGGAGTGACTACGCTCCTGGCTAAACTAATCTTCTACTTGTCCCTTGGATCCCATCCACTTATAATTTCAGAGACAGATTTCCAGTAGTTTTTCCTCTGTCTACTGCCTTGATGGTTTTACCTGCTCTCTTTAGTTACTCTCATCAGTATACAAACATTTTCTTTCTTTTATTTAAAAACAACAAACAAAAATACTTTTCTTTATCCTACTTCCCCCTCCAGCTGCTGCCCCATGTCTTTCCCATTTTTTACAGTGAAATTTGTTGAAAGTGTTGCCTGTCTCATCTCCAGTTCTCTCCTCCCATTCCCTTTGAAACTCCTATTCTCTCCTATCTCCTTCCTTCATCAACCAAGTGAATATGTTCTATTAAGATCCTTAATAACATTTGTATTGCTAAATCCATCAATCAGCAGGATACCACATTTATATTTTTGCTTCTTACCTCCCGGATGCTCCCTCTCAGTCTTACTTGCTCAGTCAAAACCCCTTCTTCAGCAAAACCTGCTGCCTCTAAGCATACCTAGAATCTGCTCCTTGCTCATCACCTCTCCATCACTCTGGTCTAAGCCAGTCTCATCCTTCACCCAACTGTTGTACTAGCTTCCCATCTGTTATATCTTCTTCTGCACTTGTCATCCTATAGTCTATTCTTAATACAACACACGGACTAATCCTGTTGAAATTTGAGTCAGATTATGTCACTTGACTGTTTAAAATCCTTCAGTAGTTTCCAAGTTAATTCAAAGTAACAAGAGAAGTTCTAATGGTAGCCTACCTCACCCTACACATGATGAGGTCCTATCATCTCTCTCATCTCATTTCCTAATTCTCCCAGTCTTCGTCTTTCTACTTTATCCAGATTACACTCTGTACTATTGCTTAAATGCATCAGGAACTTTGTACTTACTGTTTTTTTGTTTTTGTTTTTGTTTTCTGTTTGGGATGCTCTTCCCCAAGATAGCCAAGTCACTTTCACCTTCTCACTGAGGCCTTTTCTGATAGCCTGGCTAAAATCACAACGCTCATCCTTATTCTCACCCTGACCTTTCTATCGGCCTTCTCTGGTTTATTTTTCTCTTTAGCACTTATCGACCTAACATATTTTACATTTATTCATCTTATATATTTTCCTGATTACAATTTAAACTCCACAACGACACAGATTTTTGTGTTTTGTTGTCTAATGCATAGCAAAGTTTCTGGTACATAATAGGACCTCAAAAATATTTTCTAAACAAATAAATCAAACATTTATTTTTATAGTATTGGCTTTAGGTCAAAATTAAGCATAAAATGAGTTCAGAGGCTCCTGTTTCCACTGCCACTAAGAAATCTATAAAACATTAAAAAAAAAAAAAACTCATGGGTTTAAACGCTTGCTGGAAACTTGATCCAAAGGACTGAGTAAGTCATAGGTACTTCAAACTAAACTGCCATTTTTCCCCTTCTCTTTTCCTCTACTACATCTCACTTGTTGTAATCCTTTTTTCTGAAGAGTGAAAGAAGGCCTCAGCTTCCATATAATTTAGAGCATTCTTGATTACTTTGCTCCAGTGGCCTATTGATGGCTTTAGCTAAATAAAATCTCAAATCTTAAAGGCAACCAGCTTTAAGCTGAAGATATTTAGCATAAAGGTGTATCTTCCTCATTGCTTATGCTTTTCCTGGTTATATTTAACCAGGAATAGTATACCTTGGAGTATATGTGTATGAATGCTTGCTCACATTGCTGTGCTAACGAGTTGCTGCATTTTACAAATAATATGAAGTTTTAACATTAAAAATTTGAGTTTTTAAAATAAAAATGCTAAAGAGTTTTCATACAATAAGGTTTTTCACAACATTTTTCCATTATGGTTTCTTGTCATTAGAGTAAGAAGCCCAAGTGAGATATTCAACAAAGGAGATAAATTTATATATCTCTTACCTGAAGCCGACCCAAAGGGATCAGGTTGGTTTTCACTTTCCTCCTCAGTACTCTCATCATAGACTGGATCTCGGTCAGCAGTCATTTCAGAACAGATTTTAGTTTCCCTAGAAACAGAGACAGGTAGAATTATAAATCATTGGCTCACCACCTGCTAGGCAGCAAATTTACCAGTAAGTAATTATAGAAAATATTTCTGGAAAAAGATTCTAATTAGACAAACATATTGAAAATATATATGACTTAGATGAAAGCATCTTAAAACCTATATATTAACTCTCTTAAGAACAAGTTTCTCTTTTACCCAATTTTAATCTGATTTTAGTACTCATTATAATTAATATTAAATCAGTTTCTTATCAGGTACTATTCTTCTATCAAAATACTTTTTTCTACCAAATTATCTCTGTGAGTCACAGAGTATTTAACATTTTACTAATCTCAGAGCAGTTCCTTATTTCATTTGATCTCTGCAAAGCCCTAAGATGGGTATCTTTACCTTTATTATGAGAAAAAAGTGATGTGTCCAAAGCTATAAACTAATAGGTATGACTGCAAGACCAGTACCTGTACTAGGACTAGCTGATATCAAATTTTTTTATACTATGTCACTAGTAATTCTGCACTTTTACTAATATTCAGAGCAATAGACCCTAACGTATATTTGCTAATGTGTAAAAAAGTTATAATCGTTGAAACCCTTATCAGCCATTTGTCACTTACGATTCTTCCATAAAAATCAAGTACATGTCTACTCTCAGAGAAAACATTAAAGAAGAATAAGATTGGTAATCACACTGTAATCAGGTAAAATAAATGCTCCCTGGAATTTAATATTAACAACTTGATTCAAAAGTTAACTATTGCCTAGACATCAAGATTACAAATATGCATCCAACTTTGTAGTTCTGCAGATGAAAGGGTTTTTAAATTAATATTTCTTACTAATATCTAAGAATTAAATAATACTTATGTCAATTATCTAAGAATTAAATAAGCCTCATGTCAATTTTTTAATTTAAGTGTAGGTGAGACAGTTGAGCAGACATGGAGCGAGCATGCTGAGAACTCTCTAGCCCATGGCACCCGTCTAACAGCCTGAGCATCCACATCCAGTCTACTAAATTATCTCACATGACCAAAAAGTTGGCACCTAATGTTCATTAACTTTGGGAAGAAATTCCACTTAAATTTAGACATCTGTCATCCAAAAACTAGATAGCCAAAATACCCTTCTTGTTTGATGTCCTTTTCTTGTTCTTGAGCTGTATTTAATAATTTATTATGCAAACTTCTGATTTTTGTTTTCTTCTCATTCAACACCAGAATAAACCGCTTATAAAGATCAGTCTCCAAAGCTTCCTTAGCGCTCACACATTTTTCAAATCTAAAAAAGTAAGTAAGTAAACAAATTAGTCATGCAGTTCTGCTTAGCATTAACATAATTCAATCTAATAATCAAGAAGATTTCAATAAAATTTTTCAAAGAAAATACAATTAAACATTATTTTCACATATGCTTTCACTGACTTAAAAGTTTTATAAAGATGGTTAAATACACAATTAGAAATTATTGGTTATTCATGTAATTCATGTACTGAGATAAGGATCAAAATTGAAAATTGATACAAATAAGCCTTTAGAAAATCAAAATGCCTAAAGATAATAATTTATTGATATCTATGGTTTATTTACAAAAGAATGTTTTTATGGGATAAATTTCAAACAAGAGTAAATGTAGCCTGTGTTTCCTCAGTACTATGTTACTACTACTATAAAAGCAACTACAATCTTGTTTTGTGATAAGGCAATACAGCTAATTTGTCTGACTGCTCTACTAGACAATGAACTGCTCTACAACAAGAACACGACTTATCCAGTTATATTCTTATAAGCGAGCACCACACACACACACATACAAATACATATAGAAACACAATACACATATACAATGAAAGTATTCTACTTGATATATCCAAGGAGAGATTAACAAAACAGCAAATGTAAAACACTACGTATCTTCAAATTTAGATACCTGAGACAAAACATAAAATTCTCTATTGTTTATAATTCGTCCTACACTGCTCAATGAGCTAACAGGGGATTGTATTTATTTTAAGCTCCCAAGAGAGATATAAAGAAAGCAAAATAGCTGAGGTTGTATATACTTAAAATGTGCACACGCATACATGATGCATACATTCTTATTTTAGAGATTCAAATACAAATTATTTTATGTATTCTTTTCAATGTTGTTTTATACTGCTTATTTACATTGTTGTTGTTTGATATACAAGTATCCTAGTATTTTTATGCTGTACATAAACACACACACACATATATACCAGTAGTAACATATATGTGTGTACATATACAGACACACACATATATATTTCAGTGAAATCAGAAACACAAATGTCCAAATTAGATACCTTTTATATACACGCCCTTAAACTTTCAACAGTCTACCTATCTAGAGATGCAAAGAATTCAAACCTCTCATAGGATAAAAAGGAAAATATGGCAATATATTCTCTGGGACCAATTTCAGCAAATTCTTATAGCATAGTCTTTGCCAAGGATGTGAACTCCAGGAAAGTGGAAAGCATGTGTGTTTTACTGGCCACGGTATCCTCAGTGCCCAGCATAGTGTTTAGCATTCTACAGATGTTTGGTAGGTTCTTATTAGACAAATGAATAAAGTGAGTAAATTAATATGGACATCTTTTTGGTTTATTTGTTTTCCCAGGTTTACTGCTGATTTATTACAAGGCCTCAACAGTGCTTTATTTTTTCTTTTCAACATCCTGTTCTGCAGCTTCCTTGGTCCTTTTTGCCCAGAGGCCAAAGAGCCAGGCATTGATATGGCAGGTTTTTGTTTTGTTTTGTGTTTTGTTTTGAGACAGAGTTTCACTCTTGTTGCCCAGGCTGGAGTGCAGTGGCACGATCTCGGCTCACTGCAACCTCCGCCTTCTGGTTTTAAGCAATTCGCCTGCCTCAGCCTCCTGAGTAGCTGGGATGACAGGCGCCCGCCACCATGCCCGGCAAATTTTTGTATTTTTAGTAGAGACAGGGTTTCACCATGTTGGTCAGACTGGTCTCGAACTCCTGAACTCGTGATCCGCCCGCCTCAGCCTCCCAAAGTTCTGGGATTACAGGCATGAGCCACTGCGCCCAGTCTGATGTGGCAGTCTTGAAGTTCTCTTCCTCTTGGTGATGACTCGGGCTTTCTCCTTCTTATAGGTATTCCATATGAACATTACTGGTCCTGTCAGTGTGATGGCCAGTTTGAGTTCTTCAGTGTAGCCGTCTCCCTTCTTGGAGGCCGAGGTTCCTAGAGAAGGAGGATAAGCTTCCAACAGTACTCCTAAAGCTGTTATACATTGGCCTGCAAGGACTCAATGGACTTGTTTCACCTTCTTGGATCAATAGAGAAATCAATGGTCCAGGCCATCTTCTTGTGGATGCTGGCCACCCTTAATTCTTCCAAGCTGAAGCCCCTGCCAGCTTGTACTTGGTGTGAAACCTCATGTGGGACATTTTACTAGGGGCCAATGGGTCCAGATACAAGGCATCGGGCAATGCAGTGGGCTTTGACTTGTCTGGTCTCATGTCTGTGGCTCTTCCTTGCAGGCTGGGTGAACCATGTCGCTATGGGCCACTGCCAGTTCTTATAAAAGTGGAGCTTCAGGATTATGCCATTCCTGCTGGGCACCATGTCTGACTATAGCCCTCCAGCAAAGGAGAAGAGCCAAGGAGAATGGCTAATATTGACATCTTATAAGGAAACAGAAAAACAGTGATTCTGAATATTGCATTTTTTTCACTGATTTAATAGCTATTCACCATTGTAAAAGTAATATTTTTCATCTTCAGCTTTTTAAAAAACTGCGTCAAATAATATCAATCTAGCAGTATTCCCCCTTCATTCAGCAAAGTTCTCTGAGGCAGAAGTATATGAAAAGATGTTAGAAAAAAATTGAATATTGAAAAGGAGCTAGCAATATTGATAGTTTATTTTAAGCAAAGATATGTCACTACATTTATATTTCAGATTCAGTGTTACGTAAGCACGATATTCTCATCTTCCTATAATATTTTCAAAAAAACATAATAAAAAACTTTAAAACATATATATTACTGAAATACCTGAGTATATAATAACATACTTCAAACATATGCAAAGTAAAAACCAACATGTGAAAACATAAACAAATCTATTACAATTTCTTATATTAAATTTTAGGAATGGTAGCCAAGTAGTAATTTATCTGGTTTAAGTCCATATTTAATTTCCATATAAGTCACTTCGATAATTCTTTATTAAAAGATTGTGTATGTTATTAACAACTAACAAGCTAATTCCCAAACCTTTATTAAAATTAACATTTGGTGTGACACATTCAAAGTGAAAATAAAGATAAAAATGAAATATCATATAATATTCCTAAAGAATATTGTTCATCTTAAGTAACCAGTATCAGAACTATGCTGTCAAAGGAAACATTTCTGTGACAGGGAAACAAAGTAAATAGAATGAATGCTATCATATGAGTTAACCTTGCTTGGTTTCAGCAAAGTTTTAGGATTTTTTTGCAACCAAACTTCTGATTATCAAACTGGACAACACTTCCTAGAAAAGTGGGGGAGTAGGAGCTAACTGGAGAAAAAGTATTTGTGTGAACAGTTGCATGACATGAATTTACTCTTAATTCTTAATTTTTCAAGACTCAGAGAATGCTATCCTTTTATCCAATAATCAGTAACTAAGAGGTACGTAGTATCATTCCCATCTAATTTTTAATGCCAATCCTCTCCTAGAGCATTATGATGTTACTAGGCCTTCCATTACATGCTTCCTGTCAAGCTTATCCCTCAAGAATTAGACAGGAATTATTAGGTGAGAACATTTAGTGGAGAAGAGACATAGGATTCACTGCTAAGTCTGGTGACACTAACAAAAAGCCCATGTACAACTAGATCAGACCACACTAGTTCAAGGATCACATCCAGGCAAATCTCAAATTGGAACAAAATCATAAATAACACCAAACAAGAAAGGTCTAATGATAATTCATCCTTTCTACAATAACTAGGAAAATAGAACAATAATGCTAAATTTAATTAGTAACCTAGCACTGAGGTATCTAAAACCTCGGACAGAAAAAAAAAAAAAAATAGTAATTTTTTAAAAAAATTAAAAGGACAAAAAAAATACACAAAAATACTGAATATTCAAAATAAAATATCTCTGGGTGGGAAAACAATATAAGAATAACATTTCAAAACAATAACAAACTAGGAGGAAAAACACAACAATTTCATGCAGAAATAACACCAAAAATGAAACAATACATTAAATGATAGCTCAAAATAAAATAATAGGTACATAAACGTGAACATATGGTACTTAGACACAGTGCAGTAACCCTTAAATTAATAATCAGTTCCGGCCAAAATTATATCTGTCCCAGGTCAGGGTTGTACGGCAATAGAAAGTCTGAGGAGAGTTGGGAGGACAAAGAAAGCTAAAAAGAACTGGAAAAGCAAGCAGTGGTAAAGAGATTTAATATGCCTTTAAGTACGGAAGAAGATGGTGAACAGCTGTTCCTCATCCTTTCTGACAAGAGAACAAGAGGAAATGGCCTTCAACTATACCGTGAAGGATTCAGATTACCCATAGATGGAAGAAAGAATTTTCTGACTGTGACAGTTCTTAAACATTGTAACGGGCTACCAAGGGGAGATGAAGATATCTCTCGAGGTCTTTAAAAATCAGACTGAATTCATCTGGATATAATGTGATTCTATCTTGAAGGCAGAGAGATGAAGTAGAAGAGCTTTCAAGGTCTTTTATTCTGATGATTCTGTGAGTGTCAACCCAATTCACTGAAAACTGCCTCCAATTATGGGTTTAATAACTATAACTCAGAATAAAGGCAGATAATTTCTAAGCAGAGTTCTGAGTGCAAACAAAACATCTATTCAGTAACATGGAACTTGAGAGTCGTTATTAGTAATTAAGTAGAAAACCCACTAAATAAATATAGCCAGTAACCTAAGGATTTATATACACATCTTAAATGTTTCCTCCTTTATCTCAACCATACAAAATTAATGCAGTGATGCCACTTGTTCAAAATGGAGCCAAGAACACAATTATTAAGTGGTAATTTAAAATAACAGCAAATATATATGTTAAAATTCTATGCATTAAAGCTCACACTTTTTACTTATGCTGTAATTTCTCATTCCTCACTCAAGCCTTGTTTATTCTCCATCATCATCCCAAATGAAAATAGCTTTATAGTTGTTTCTGATTATCATGGTGATACATATTTAAATACTAAAACATATACAAAAAATACTCCCCAAAATTAAAGGAAAATGTCGTCTACAATTCCAGATGTACACTATTAACATTTAATTTTCTTCTTCCAGATACTCTCTATTTAAATATATTTTTGCAAACAATGGGATATTGTTTATATTTGTGGTGATGCACGTCTTACCTTAATATATGATCAACATTTTCCACGTTAATAAACACACATGTACACAACTATTTTATGCTCATATAATATCTTATTGTGTAGTAAATGTATCTCAGACCCATCTACCTTCGCTTCTACGGGAATTCCCATCCCTTACATTGTGTCCTTCCCCACTATTTTAACACCACCCTCCCATCCCTTCATATGTAGTATAAAAGAAATGCTTGGATCATGGACACTGACACAAGAATAATCAGAGGCTTCCCCAAAAACTATTGCCAAACTTAACATGGCCCCAACTCTAATGATTCTCTACTTTCTATGTCCCCAGTTACCTAACTCCATATGCTCATGTCCTATTTCTAATCTCCCTAAAGACACTTAATTAGAACTACTGCCTTATGGAAGCTAAAACTGTAAATCCTTTCCAGCATGCAAAGGCTCTAGTGAGGGAACACTAAGAAACTGCTGCTTGGCCATGATCAAGATGTATTTACAGCTCCTTAAAGTGGTCTCTGTCCTCTGAAAGGAGAGAAAACCAAATTTGGGAAATATTTAAAGCTACTAATCTAAGATCTGGAATACAATAAAGAGACTAGAATCCTCTGGAGTGGACTCTTTCCTCTCAGTACATAGGGCCACCCCAAAGGCACACATCTATAGACCCTGAAGAAGACATCTGACACACTATTATAAAAAAAAAAAAAATAGCTGGATCATAATAAGGCAGGTGACAGGGTACATGGCTGTGCTTTTGATCAAACAGGAAATCTCTTGCCACAACAAGACAAAAGCACTTGCTGGATAGTCCAGAAATAGCAAATCAAGCATCTGTGAGCCACATATAATATGTGCCCCTCGCACACACTGTTACAGCACAGGGTGCATTCATCTCTAATTCCTCATCTTCGTTCCCTGCTGCTTTCAATTCTATGGGAGTGGTGTTGAATACTGATGAGATAATACCTCTTTCAACCTCTGGCAGACATTTTAAAGCAATTTGTTCAAGTACCAAGTACCCAGTCTGCATTTTTGTAGGCAATTTGTGGATCAAATTTCCTATCATCCTGAGGGTATTCTGAGTTTTAAATATAATGGTTCATCACGACCATAACTCATCTCCTTTAATTTGATTTATTTCACATATTAAATAGAAAATACACCTAAGCTACAGATATAGGTACAAGAAATGCTTTGTAGTACAGCTACCTGATACTTATTCATACCATGACATAGAATTCATCTTTATTCATGAATAAGCAGTAAAGAGAAAAATTAACTTTTTCTGCATGGTTTCCTAATACACAGTTTGGATTTGGTCTCATTTTTGTATTATTTATATATAATATATATAAATAATTGGAGATAGAAATTAATTTAGATCTAAGATAGAACAAAACCACTTTCTTAATACATGAAAGTGAAATAACATAGGTGTTAGGAACTTAATTTTACATGTTTTGCATTAGTTAATAAATATAATTGAATGTACAGAAAAATAATCGCTTTTAGTCAGCCTCATTTTCACATACATATATTGACAGTGGTAAAACCTTCGCCAGTTTTCATATACTTCCACATATACTCACTAATGTCCATATACAGCAATCACAATGGTTGCACTAAAAATACCCTAAATATGTTGGATAACTGTTCCCATGCTTTAGCATTATTTGTTTAAGCAAAAGATTTAAAAAATCTACTGGATGTACTAATAATTATTATCATTATTATATATATTTTCCACATAATGATTTCAGACATCATTTTCTTTCTCACTATATATATGTGTGTGCATACACATACATATATATACACTATATGTGCGCATACACACACACATATATATATTATATATGACTCAGTGAGGCTATAAATGTTCATAACATGCATTTTATTTCCTTCAAACATCTTATACAGAATAGAATAATAAAGGTTACACATTGGGCCAGCCTAGATTACATTTAGTTGAGAAAGTTCATAATTTAAAAAAAAATTATTTTTTTCTTCTTCATTTAAAAAGAGGCAAAGCCAGGAAAATAAAAGGCTTCCAAATGTCTTGTCCAGTAGCCACAATCAGCTCATCCTTTAAAAATGCTTATAGTATGAATTTTCAATAAATCAGGAGAAATAAGTCTCTATTGGAAGCCAAAACACTATCATTTGAAATAGGTGCCACTCACTGATTCCAAATAAGAAATCAATTATGTTTATTTTATTTCATATCTCTTTTTAATTCATTATTAATCCTATAATTTGAGCCGAATTAATATTTATAAATAGTTACTACCTAAGTTATTTATTAGTATTAATGGGTATTGATCTTCAATGCCCAATTGCTCCTTATTGTTTATAAGTTTGCTGGTGCCACCACATCCTAATGACATAAAAGTGTTAATGCAGTTCTATAATATACAATATTGACTAATAATTTTGTTTAATCATATTCAGTTAAGCTAAATTTAATGACAAATTTTGTATGAAATATATGCTAATCTATATATGTTGGAAATTTACAAATCATTAACTTAAAGCTATAACAATATGACAAGGGCTCCGTATTTTTATACCACAAGCAAACTGTGTACACACCGTCCTTGAACATCATTCCAATCTCTCAGAAGCCTTTCATTTTCTTTCTGCAGGTGCTCATTTTTGGCTTCATTTTCTGCGATGGTGTCCAAGCAATAACAAATAAGTTCTCTAATGACTTCAGCTGGGTTTTCAACTTTCTCTAGGTTGAAGGAACCAAGTCTGAACTAAAATAAAACAAAAACATGTTTAATTTGAGGAAAATATCAAGATTGAGCAGCATTGTTTTAAGCATACACAATTTCTTCTGAGAAGAAAAAAGTGTAAGAAAGATTTAAATACAATGCATTTACCAGATATACAAACAGTGAGCAAAAAAACTGGGCTACAACCTAAAGTTTCTTACTTTATCATATAAATCAACATATAGCCCAGGAATAATTTTTGTAAGTGGTAAGTCACTCTCCCATCTCCTAGCAGAAAAGAAAGCAACATAAATACTGTATAAGCATACTACCATCTGTTTGCTAAAGCCTAATTTTAAGTCTTTCTGCTCAGAATAAGAAAAGGAATTATATATAAGAATTTTAAACTCTAATTTCTATTCACACAAATGCTAAAATGGAATAACTGACCTTTTATTGAAGAAAGCTCAAAATTTTGTTATCGCTAAGAGAAAGGTAGAGTTTTAGGAAACCAGTAGCTACGCAGTAATTACTCTTTTATCTAAAGACAATAATGTATTACCATAAATTGCCAATAATAAAGTTAAGTGTTAAGCTTTAGTACTTCTGCACAAAGGTAAGAATCTTAAAAATACCTTAATTCCTCTACTAGGGTACACTTTAAAACAAAATACTCTAATAGTTTTAGTTACACTTATGGAATTCTGAAGGGAACACAGGTATTCCCCATTTGGCTGATAAGGATGCTGAAGCACAATGATTAGTAATAATGATTATAATTATCCTGAAAATTAAAATTATTATAACAGATAACAAATTATGATGATGATTACTATGCAGTTACCACATCTTTTGGTTGAAATATAGCTCAAGCGTAGCAAAAATATAAACTAGGATACATCTTCACCGTAAAAGAACTATTATCATATCCATATTATATACCAGCAAACTCAGATTCAGAGTAGTTATGCAAGCTATCAAAGGGGTAAAGTCAAGATTCTGCTATGCTATGCTCTTGTGCTGCTTCTTGGTAAGAGAGTATCCCAGCTAGACAAAAAGTAGGGGAAGAATTAGGTTCAGAACCTACACATAATTCCAAAGAAAGATGCTAGTAGTACTGAGTCTGTAGAAGAAGAGTAAAATGAGAATTTTTTTGTTTTGTTGTGGGTTTTTGTTTATTGCCTCCAAGATCGCAAATTTCTATTATGCATTTATCTGATAAGAAGATTTCCGAAAGGTATTCCTTTTAAAAGAATATTTCTATAAATATATTACACACAGGTTAAGAAATATTTAAGATGGTTGAGGATTCTGAGACAAATCTTTATTAGACAATTTACAAATAAAAGCAGACTTCACTAAAGTAGACATCCACTGTGAAACTGCATTCGTACAGTTTGATAAAGCAGTCGCAGTTTTCTCATGCAATGAAATATCGTTCATTCAATAGGCACATAAGCTTAAATAAGAAAGTTTTACCTATATAAACAATAAATAAATTGAAAGCAAATTTGAACAGTTACCTTTTGAAGCTTCTCTGAGTGTAAATATACACACAAAGTTAAAGAAATATGTCACCTGGCCAGCCATAGTGGCTCATGCCTGTAATCCCAACACTTTAGGACGCCAAGGTGGGTGGATCACCTCAGGTCAGGAGTTTGAAACCCGCCTGGCCAACATGGTGAAACCCCTTCTCTACTAAAAATCCAAAAATTAGCCAGGCATGGTGGTGCACGCCTATAAGCCCAGCTACTCAGGAGGCTGAGATATGAGTATCACTTGAACCGAGATCATGCCGCTGAACTCTAGCCTGGGCGACACAGCAAGACTCAGTCTCAAAAACAACAATAACAACAACAACAAAGGAAAAAATGTCACCTACAGAATATTAATGTTTTGAGTTGATACAAAGTAGGAGAAAAAAAATAAGCTTACTTTATTTTAGACAATAGGTTACACTAGCAAAACACAAACCCACAAAGTGGTTTTGTATTCTTTCATTGTAACAATTGTCAGGTAGGTTGGAGAGAAGTGGACATTTTTAGAAAGAAAAAGTTTTTTTAACACTTGAAAAGTTTCAAAATGCCAAAAGGACAAAGAATTCATCCCACACTTTGATCCTGAAATAAAAAAATCAGTAAACTACAAATGAAGAGATAAACACAAGTCCAGCCCTCTACATTTCTATCTCAGATGACAAAGAAAGGACTAATTTTAAATCACTAATAACAACTTCTTTCAAAATATCACTCAAATATACTGATGAAAACTTCCAAAACCCTCTTAGATCTTTTTGCAGCTACTCAGTGTAAAATAAACATGAAATGTCATTTCTTCTTAAAAGTACACAACTATTTTTATTATATCTAATTTCTAATTATTGTCACCAGTTTCTAGTCCTTCAATAGATAAGGACATCTGTTATTCTACACAATAAAAATAAACTAAAAGTATCTAGAAATTTAATGAAAGAAAAGGATTTTACTTGAAATACTGAGATGAATTTTTTTAAATTCTCAAAAGTATGAGCATTTGGCTTATATACACATGGTTCATAGCCAGGAGCAGGAAGCACTCTTTCACCTTCACTGCTGCTGTTCTAGCCTGTGCACATTATTACAGATGCAAGGGGCCACACGCCTAGATGCACTGGACTTCAAAAAGGGCCTCATATCAGGCTTAATGAGTTGAGAAGTATAAAATACTTATGTGTTCTACCTCTACATCCAGTCCACCTTTATTCTGTCCCACAACAAAAGAAAAGCAGCAATTTAAGTATCATTTTAACGCCAGCAAATTAGCACAAAAGCTATATTGTATTGTTGTGTCAATTTTTAAATTTTTCACTCCAGTTTCTAGTTTGACATATAAGGTTACTGTCACCGCTATTCTTTAGTTATTATTCTGTCACTTCAAAATAATCTACAGTATAAAACCATGACTTCAAATGGTACGGCAGATTCAGAAACCACATATTAAAGACATTTTGAGAGCATGTCTCTTCTGTTAGAAATTAAGAGTTTTTTTGTAGTTAGTTCTCAATTTTATTAATAATTCAGAGTACACAGATCTGTGTTAAGAACCTCAATCTATAATCTAAGAGTTTACGCTATGTCTGCATTTCTCTATGTAAAGAAGGGCAATTGACTTTTAAAATACTGATAATCGGCCAGCTGTGGTGGCTCAAGCTTGTAATCCTAGCACTTTGGGAGGCCAAGGTGGGTGGATTTTTGCCTGAGCTTAAGAGTTCGAGACCAGCCTGGGCAACACCGTGAAACCCTGTCTCTACTAAAATATAAAAAAAATTAGCTGGGTGTGGCGGCGTGTGTCTGTAGTCCCAGCTACTCAGGAGGCTGAGGAAAGAGAATTGCTTGAAGCCAGGAGGCAGAGGTTGCAGTGAGCCGAGATCGCGCCACTGCACTCCAGCCTGGCGACAGCGTGAGACTCTATCTCAAAAAATATATGTGTGTGTGTGTGTGTGTGTGTGTGTGTGTGTGTGATCATAGTAAGTTTCACTAGTTGACTCTTAATGGTTATCATTCTAAGTGATGGAATACTTTAGCTTTTTAAATTTAATCCACATTAAAAATTCTCAATTTCAGAAAACTTATACATTTTCTTTAGCCAGGGGTTTGCTTTTTCTGGATATCTTTCTGTCAACTCTTCAAGTCCAAGATTAAATCCCTTATCATCACCTCAAGCCCAGGCCAAGTTCTTTTTAACTAAGTTAGCCTATGTATTAGTCGATTTTCTAAACACTGCTGATAAAGACATACCTGAGACTGGGAAGAAAAAGAAGTTTAATGTACTTATAGTTCCACATGCACTTACATGAGTGAGGCTGAGGGGACCTCAAAAATCATGGTGGAAGGCAAGGAGGAGCAAGTTACGTCTTACCTGGATGACAGCAGGCAAAAACAGAGCTTACGCAGGGAAACTTCTGTTTTTTGGGTTTTTTGAGACAGCGTTTCACTCTGTTGCCTAGGCTAGAGTGCAGTGGCACAATCTTGGCTCACTGCAACCTCCGCCTCCTCAGTTCAAGTGATTCTCCTGCCTCAGCCTCCTGAGTAGCTGGCATTACAAGGGTGGATCACCACATCTAGCTAATTTTTGTATTTTTAGTAGAGATGGGGTTTCATCATGTTGGTCAGGCTGGTCTCGAACTCCTGACCTCGTCATCTGCCCACCTTGGCCTCCCAAAGTGCTGAGATTACAGGCGTGGGCCACTGTGTCCAGCCACTCCTGTTTTTAAAACCATCAGCTCTTGTGAAACTCATTCACTATCACAAGAACAATGCAGGAAAGACCTGCCCCTATAATTCAATCACCTCCCACCAGGTTCCTCCCATGACACGTGGGAACTGTGGGAGTTACCATTCAAGATGAGATTTGGATGGAGACATAGCCAAACCATATTAGCCTACATTGGCCTCTCTAGTCTTAATATTTCAGTCTCATACAATGTATTACTCAGTTGTATCCTGCTTATATTTTTCTTTGGTTGTTTCAGAAATGCAGTCTTTTCCTTTAGGTTTGAAGCTTTTTGAGATGTGGGACCCTCTTTTCTATTTCTTCCATAGCCTCCAAAATATCTTTCAAAGTTCTGGCCCATACTAAGTGTTAGATAAAATTTTGATTATTTATTGGAATAATCCTCATTAAGAAACTATAACTATAATGGGATAGGTAAGGGATTTGGGCAGTGATTCTGTCCAAATTAAGAAATAGAGACCAGACAGGGTTATTTATTGATATATTTATAAACATGACAGCTGTTTAAAGACATGACAGGGCTATTTATTGATTAGTATAATTTAAACAAAAAGGGCAGTTAATTGCTTACTAGCACTTAATACTATCATAATATATAGATTTGAAAAGAATTAAAACAGATGTTTTTTAAAGAATGTATAGTTATACACTCAGTTTTCAGGTTCTTTTAAATGACCACACAAATAAAAGAATATACAGTATCAGTAAAGCACACAAAATAAATACTATGAGTAACATTAATTCCTAGAGAGTTATTTGTGGCCATTCTA